CCCGCGAGAGCAAGCAGATGGAAGTAACCATACCTAGAAGGGTCAGAGAAGCCTTCCTAAGAAGAGTGGCATAAGAATTGGGTTTCAAAGGATGAATAGGAGTTTCCCGTACAGATAAGAGGTAAAGATGGGAAAAGGAATTGTTGAGAGGGATCAGTATGGACAAAGGTATGGAGTGGGGAAAAGGTGGTGCGGAGAGGGCATGAGGTGCAATGGCAGGAGGGAAGGGTGGAGAACTGGGTTCCCAAAGTGTGGCCACCTGATCAGCAGCATCTGCACACTGGAAACTCATGAGAAATGCAAATTATGAGGCTCTCTCCTAAACCTACTAAATCAGAAATTCTGGGGGCAGGACTAGAATCTGTGTTTTTTTTTTTTTTTTGAGACGGAGTCTCACTCTGTCTCCCAGGCTAGAGTGCAGTTGCTCACTGCAACCTCTGCCTCCCGGGTTCAAGTGATTCTCCTGCCTCAGACTCCCGAGTAGCTAAGATTACAGGCTTGCGCCACCAGGTCTGGCTAATTTTTGTATTTTTAGCACAGATGGGGTTTCACCATGTTGGCCAGACTGGTCTCCAACTCCTGACCTCAGGTGATCCTCCTGCCTTTGGCCTCCCAAAGTGCTGGGATTACAGGGGTGAGCCACCACACCTGGCCTAGAATCTGTATTTTAACGAGTCCTTCAGGTAATTCTGACTCACTCAAGTTTGAGAACTTCTGGGCTAGAAAGAGCCAGAGCGTCCAATGCATTCTGCGTGGTTTTCAGGTCTAGGATTTCAGGCCTTGTCTTTCGTGGAGACCCCTTGATAGGTCACCCCTTGACAGGAGCTTACAGCTCAAGGGCTGCTCTTTTCCTTGGTCCCTTTTGGCCTCACCTGACACTAATGTCTGTCCTGGTCTCTCTCCCACTGGAGGACACTTCTGCCATGTGTTACAGCATCCGTCACGACACAATTGTGGGCACTTCCCTTATCCATGTGCTTGGGTTGTGTACAAGTGTCACATCAAATCACTCCTACAGTTAGTTCAGGCCTAAGTCCTGATTCCTTTTTTTTTTTTTTGAGACAAAGTCTTGCTCTGTCACCCAGGCTGGAGTGCCGTGGCATGATCTCACTGCAACTTCTGGCTTCCAGGTTCAAGCGATTCTCCTGACTCAGCCTCCCAAGTATCTGGAATTACAGGTGCAGGCCATCACAACCAGCTAATTTTTGTATTTTTAGTGGAGACAGGTTTCACCACGTTGGCCAGGATGGTCTCAAACTCCTGACCTCAACCTCAGAGTCCTGATTTCTGAGAGACAGACAATGGCATATGCGTGACTGACCAGTGGGCTCTGCTGAGCACCGATGCGTTTGCTGATGGGACAGTTATGGAGAAGAAATCCCCTGAAAGCATCCTCCACCTCGAACTCATACTCACTGGTGACCTTGGCTGAAATGCCACTTTCTCTGCATGGCCCTCTCCCAGCCAGCCACTCCCCATCACTGTGTCTCCACAGCATCCTCAGCCCTCCGCATGACCTCTCAAGCTGTTCTCTAATCGCTTGGCTGTCACTCCAGCACAAGGCCAGGACCTTGTACATCTTGGAGTGACATCCCAAGCACACTGCCTGATGTCACCCCCATTCCAGCAGCTCACTCTGATTGAGCACTTACTTCTTGCAAGCATCATGCCATGAGCTTTACCCGAGCTGTGTCATTTAAACCTGAGAACTGCCCTATGAGATGGGTACTATTGTTGTCATTCCGGTTTTACAGATGCGGAGACTGAGGCACAGAAAATAAAATACACTGCCCAATGCCACATGGCTGGTGAGCCGCAGGCAGACTGCCTCCAATAGATAAACACATATTGTTGTTTTTGTGTTTGTTGCAGGAAGGGAGGGAAAATGGGAGGGAAAAGTGAGATTTCCTGAGCATCCTTATTACCCATGAGGTTCACAGTGCCCTCCCAGATTCCTGGCTATTGTCCCTTCACTTTGAGGGACATTGGGGAAGGACCTGGAATTACTGACCCTTGTCTGGGACCAGTGGCTGCTTTATTTAGGGCACAATGAGCCCGTGTCTCTGCCGTGATTCAGCCATGGGCCCAGGGATCTCCAGGGAGAGGGGACTGTCCGCAGGCCCTGGCTAGCAACTCTCCACTAAGAGAGCTTTTCAGCTCCGGCTCTCTCAGCTGCTAGCTGCTGTGGCCATTAGCGCTGAAATTAGCATTGTAATTGCCTTTTAACTATTCATAGCTATGAAAGAGATCAGACTGGCTCCGCCTCTCCCTCCCTGCCTAGAGAGTAGCATTGGCTTCCCTCCCTGGGTCTAGGGATCACTCCCTGTCCACACTCCCAAAAAGGGTACTTCACACCCCTGAGCCTGTTTCTTCGTCCTTCAAGTGAGGGTGATAATCCAAGCTTCAAAGGCTTATTGTGATGCATTGTAAGGATACGTATTCAAGTCCACGCCATAGGAGGGGTTAGTGCTCAGGTCCTCTTGACTCTGAGCTTAGGGCTCTTCCTGTCCCACCATGTCAATCCTTAAAATTTGCCTTTCCCTGCCAATAATGGCTTGATTATTTGTAGGCTGGGCAATCATGCTTGTAATCCCAGCATTTAGGGAGGCCAAAGGCAAAGAATCACTTGAAGCCAGGAGTTGGAGACCAGTCTGGGGAACATATCAAGACCCCATCTTTCCAAACAATTTTAAAAATTAGATGGGCATAGTGGCGTGTTCCTGTACTCTCAGCTACTCAGGAGGCTAAGGTGGGAGGATTACTTGAGCCTGGAAGTTACAGGTTGCAATGAGCCGAGATCACAAACTCTGTACTCCAGACTGGACAATAGAATGAGATCCGTCTGTTATAGGTAGAATTTTTGATGCTGCAAAAGAAGTAGCACTTGAATATAAATTTCCTCAGCAAGGCACTACTTCTGTAGAAGGGTGTGGCTCACAGATGGAATAATGGTGAGCACACACCTGAACAGGGAGGGGCGGGGGTACTTATGCCTGACGGGGGTCACCCCTATTGGCTAGTGTTAGACCGCACAAGCTAGGCTAATCTTGATTGGCTATTTAAAAGAGAGCAGGGGTCTGAGCTGGAGTGGCAGGGTGGGTGGCTTGGCGGGAAGGATGGTTAAGGGCGGGTCAGAACAGGTAGCCAGGGGTGACCTAGGTCAAAGAAGGTGACTGAAGCAGGTGACCGGGATGAGTCAGGACGGAGCTGGGGGCTGGGGGAACAGATGTGAACTACTGATTAGAACCAGTGGAGAAGGTTGCTTACTGGAACTACAAGGAAGTTAAACTTTAAAATAGATAATTAAAGAATAAGAGAGCTGAACATACTGATTCTTTGAAGAGAAACTTGGGGTTCAGTATGTCTAATATGTCTCAAATAAAAACACAATCATATGAGCTGACAGTAGACAAGACCTTGCCTAAAAACGTTCAGTTTTGCCATCATAATTAGAAGATTTTTACTATAAAATAATCAGGCCTCAATGAAGAGAGGGGACTTACTCCAAATGGGTTGCAACTACCGGGTCATCTAGTTTGTCTCTTAAAAATATGAACACTAACTTTTGAGATGCAGTAGTGGTTGAAGGGACTGATGATGAAGCCCAGCTGCCTGGTTCCAGTCCAGTTCTGCCACTCCCCCCAGGGTGACCTTAGGCCAGTTACTTAACCTCTCTGTGCTTCGGCTTCCTACTCTGCAAAATGAGGATAACAATGCCTTTTCTATGTGTGTGTTCTGAGGTGTGAATCAGTCAATGTACGTGAAGCACCTGGCACAGCAGTAAGACATAGTGAGAGCCAGGTGAGTGTTTGCTCTTATTATTCATTAGGCATCTTTATTCACCTGCTTGTGTGGCTTCTAAACTGCAGTTTGGGGAGAGGCTTCCGCAATCATCATCAGCAAATTGTTTTTGGGCGAGTTACCATCACATGGACGCACAGTGCTTTCTTACCCTCAGTTTCCACTTGAGTCTGAGTCAGACCAGGAGGGGAGAGCCCCAGGTTGACTCCCTTTAAGATGCAAAAACTGAGGCTTGAGAAAATCAAGTGACTTTCCCAAGACACAGATTATAAAAAGAGGGGCCTGGCCTTGAATTCAAGTCTGCTATGCTGGGAACCAAGTAGCAGGCCCTTCAGCTGGCCCTGCATCTTCTCTGTCCTCCCCATAACCCCGTTTAATGCAAACACCATATTCTTCCCTCCAGACCGAGGCATGATACCTAGCAGTGCTTGAAAGCACAAACAAGCTGAGATTGTTGTGAGGATGAACTGAACTAACATTTATATGACCAGTACAGGGCATGATAAGTGCTAAGTTAGTAATATTTATGATGATGACTATCACTATTATTATTTTGTGACAGGGTCTCACTCTGTTGCCCAGGCTAGACTGCAGTGGTGCACTTAAGGCTCACTGCAGCTTCCACCTTCCAGGCTCAAGTGATCCCCCCTCCTCAGCCTCCTGGGTAGCTTAGACTACAGGCACATGCCACCACACCCAGCTAGTTTATTTATTTTTTTGTAGGGAAGAGGTCTCACTGGGCTGCCCAGGCTGCTCTCAAGCTTCTGGGCTCAAGGGATCCTCGTGCCTCAGCCTCCCGAAGTGTTGGAATTACAGGTGTGAGTCACCTCGCCTGGCCTGTTCTTATTTAGCTCAGAAAATCAGCCCTAATGACCTCACCGGATACACCACTTCCAGCCCTACACAATTTAGGCCTGATTCCTGCTTTAAATATGTAAATGCTGCTGTGAGAAAGACGTCCTTGGGAGGGAGAAGGGATGGGGGTCAGAACCTAAGACTTGCCAGGCACTCAGATGAGGACTTGGGAAAGCTGTGAAGAGGAGGTCCCTGCCTGATCTTATGAAGTTTATGGAAAACTACCTGATTACAGGATTTAATTCACGCCTTGAAAAAGAAGGCAATGAACAGGACGCTACCATACAGAATAACGGAGGGGTGGGAGCTCCACTTCTGATTAGAAGGTCAGGGAGGACCTCTTGGAGGCGGTAATAGTTAAGCTGAGAACTGAAGGAGCCAGTATGTAAAGACTGGGTCGACAGCTTTCCAAGGCAGAGGGAATCAGGAAAATGATGGGCTTGTCGGAGGAACAGAAAGGACAACGAACTTGTGAGTCACACTAAGGGACGCCGTGGTGCGGGATGAGGCTGGCGCCCGATCACTAGGGTCTTATCGGCCACGGTGAGGAGTCAGGGTTTCATGCGCCCATGGAGTCAGAAAAAATGGCCCAACGCCAGTGCCCTAAGTCCGGAAACATTCAAAGCTGGGCCCAGGGTGGCGGGGTCCGGGGCCTTTGGGGGCTCGAGAAGGACGTTACGTTCAGGGCTACAGGGTGCAGTCCTGGGGCCCATACCCCTAACCTCCAGCCTAGGGCCGGCAGCGCTCGACCCCTTTTCCGCGCGGGCCCTAAGCTCAGCTCCCTCTCAGCTCCCCGTGTGCCCGCAAGCGGGAGGGAGGGAAGACTAGCGCGCCCTGTCGGCGGTGTCGCCGCTTTCCGCCATTGTTTAGTCGCGGTGCTTTCATTTCTCTGCAATCAACAATTTTCTGCTCGGCTCCGCGCCGACCCACGAAAGCGGTGCTCTTCCTCGCCCCCCTGATGACCGCAGAGCGGGAGCCGAGCAGCTGCTCTGCAAGTAAGCGCCAGGCGCCCGCTGCCGCCCACCCACGCCAGGCCCCGCCCCGCTCCAGGCCACGCCCATTAACACAGGCCCCGCCCCTACACAGCCAGGAGTTCCCGCTTCACTCCCAGATCCCCGCTGCGCCCCGCCCGCTGGCCGCGCAGGCGCAACCAGCACGGCGACTGCCGGTGGTCGGGTGTTTCCGTGCCCCGAGCGCACCGCTCGCCCAGCTGCGGATCATCATCGCCCTTTTGTTCTCGGTCGCCCGCTCGCCCCGCGCTAGGAATGCTAACTGTAGGCGCCGCCAGCCCCCTTTTCCTGCTTCCCTGGGTCGGAGTGGGAAGGGAGTTTTAAATTGAATTGTGCTCAGTCTGACTCCTAGCCCAGTCTTCCCAGCGCCATCCGTTCCTTCATCCACTGCGGACACCCATATCTAAGGTTCGGGGATGATTTCCGGGGCACCCTCAAACCCAGCCCGAGGGATCCGGGAAGGCCTCCTGGAGGAGAGTCCACGAGGCCCGGTGCCGAGGATGGGATGGGGTTAGATCTTGGAGGGCTTTGAATTCCCGGCAAAGGATCTGGGATGGTTCTTGAGGCCAGCAGGGATTTTCAGGGAGATTGGGGGTGGGGGTGGGCAGGGGGTCTTGGTCACTTGTGTTTTACAAAAGTCCCTTTGGCTCTGGGAGGCGGAGACTGAGACTGGAGGCCGGGGGACCAGGGAGGAAAAGGTTACTGCCGTGGTCCAGGTGGGAAAAGATGTCGGTGAGGTCTTGTGGGGCAGAACGCAGGAGAAGACTATTGAGGGAGTAAAATGTACAGAACCAGTGGCCAGTTAAGTTTAGGGGTGAAGGGGAAAATGAGGACACGCCTAGGATTCTGACTTCCGTGACCATATGTGGGGGGCGTCTCTCTGAGAAGCGGGGAAGGAATGAGGGTTGCTGGGTTGAGCAGATGACGGAGCCCTCCTTCTCCCATCCGCTTCCTAACATTGTACTTTCCACACGTGCGTGAGTACGCCCTCATTTCACCCATGCCTCTGTTCAGCGGCCCCTCCTCTGAGAGGCCTTCGCTGACCACCTTTTGTAAGACACTCCTCGTCCTCTTACCCTAGCCACTATTTCTTCCCAGCCCTGACAGCCTAAAGTTGTATTTGGATTTGTTTGTTGGTTTCTTTTCTGTCTGCCCCACAAGACTGTGAGCTCCTTGAGGACGGGCTTTTGCTTGGTTCTTTGCAGTATTTCCAGGACCTGGAGCACCGTTGCCTAGTCTCTGCTGAAAGAAAGAAAAAAGAGAGACAGAGAGAAAGGAGAGGGGAGAGGGGACAGAAGAGAGGAAGAGAATAAGGAAAGAAAGAAAGAGGCAGTGCAGGGTCCAGGCCTTGCTGGTTCATCACTGCATTCCAAGCTCAGCACTAAATAGCAATTTGTTCAATAAATGCATGAAGGGATGGATAGTTGCTTCACAACCTAGTAGATAAAATCTAGGCCGAGTGTAGTGGTTCACGCCTATAATCCCAGCACTTTGGGAGGCCAAGGTGGTGGATCACTCGAAGTCAGGAGTTCAAGACCAGCCTAGCCAACGTGGTAAAACCCCATCTCTACAAAAAATACAAAAATTAGCCAGGTGTGGTGACGTGCACCTTTAGTCCCAGCTACTCAGGAGACTGAGGCAGGAGAATCACTTGAACTCAGGAGGCAGAGGTTGCAATGAGCTGAGATTGCACCACTGCACTTCAGCCTGGGTGACAGAGCAAGACTGTCTCAAAACAAAACAGTCTAATAGATAAAATCTAGAGTCAAAATGTGAGCCGCAGTACCATGAGATACCATCAGGATAATGGATCAATGATAGCCCATGTTTGTTGAGTGCCTCATTCACACCAGGGCTGTGCTACCTGCACGGGTTATCTCAGTTAGTGCTCATGACAACCCTGTGAAGCAAGGACTTTTGGTGGCTCTGTTCACTCACATGAGGAAAATGAGGCCCAGAGAGGTTGAATAATGTGCCCAAATTCACACAGCTAGTAAACAGCAGGGCCAGGATCTGAACCAAAGTTGGTAGCACTATTACCAAGTCACAGCACAGCACATGGAGGCTATGTCTTGGTGGAAAGGGTCAAAAGTATTCTCACAGCCATCCCAAGGCTCCTCCTAACTTAGGTGATTTCTTCTCAAGGGGTCAGAGGCTCCATGTTGCCCCAGCCAGGCTCAGAACAGCAGCAGAAGTCTGGCTGTGTAGAGAGGTGCTGATACGAAGTCCACCTGACCAGTCCCGGACTGTGAGACCAGCACTTCATGTATGTTACAACATTCAGTCTTTACAGCAAACTTGGTGAGGCCCTTGCTATAGTCATTCCCATTTTCCAGATGGAGAAAGTGAGGCATAGTGAGGTAAACCAGCTTACCTAGGGCCACTCAGATATTGTGTGGGACAGCTGGTGTCCAAACACAGGCAGGCTGATTCCAGATCCCACTTCTGTGCTTCCTTTAAGCTGACCACAGCAGGAGGCTGGGTGTGGCCAGGCCAGCTCAGGCTGGCCATTCTCTGTGCCAGGTGGTGGCTGCCAGGCATGGCTGGAACAGTGTTGACCCTGTGGCCATCCTGCCTCTGCCCATTAAGGGGGCAGTCCTGGGAGCATCATAAACCCAGCTGAGGCTGAACCGACATAGCAAATCCACATCCTCCGTCCCCTGTCACTGGACATCCTGTATTCAATCACCCACATATTCATTTCTTCTAATCTTTCTTTTCTTGACTGTGATAAAGTTATTTTTATAGTGCTGAGAACGTGCAATTCATTTGAATTAAGTCTGCTGGAGTAGATCAGTTTGTGTTATAGAATCAGGGTTAAAAAAGAAGGTATATTTCAATGGTTCTTTTAACTGATTATGCTCCAGGAACTTATTATAAGAATCTCATTTGGGGTGTGTGTGTGTGTGTGTGTGTGAGAGAGAGAGAGAGAGAGAGAGAGAGAGTGTGTGTTACACCCACATCTAGAACCATGGGGTGCTCAGGAAGACCACCTAGAAGCCTCTCTATAGGTAGGGTCTGGACCTCCCTTAGAGAAATGATGAAGGGAACTCTGCTATTATCTCCATCAGGTGGTGGCTGCCCAACCTCTAGGGAATGGGGCAGAGCATTCACTCTCATGTAGGAGGGCCCTGAAAGATTTGGGTGCAGCTGAAGACTGTCAGCTCATGCTCAACCGTGTGCAATGGCAAAGAAAAGCAGAGTGATTTGAAGGCCTCCAGCCCCCCATCTGGGAGGAAAGGGTAGGCAGACATTGCCAGTCTGAGGGGTATTATGTGGTCGCTGTCTGCCCTTCCTGGGAGCTTTTTGAGGATAGTCCTGTTCATCACTGTCTGCCCAGTGCCTGACCCTTTGGAGGCCCTCAATAAACATTTGGCGAATGAAAGGATGGAGAGAGTGAGAACTGGCCATCAACACCAGCTCTCTACCTGAGCCAGTAGAGAAGTTGCCCCTAGGAAGGGTAGACCCAGCAAAGGTCTAGGGCATCAGGGTTTCCAGACCCAACAGGGGCCCCTGTGCTCAACCTCAGCATTCAGGCCTCAGAAGCAGCTGCCTTCAGGGGATTATGTGAGTTTGGACAATGAGCATTTTAGCAGTAACCAGTGAAAATGGAAGAAAACAGGATTCTCCCCACATGACCTGCTCTGTATAAATCCTTGTGACCGTTCTTCCACTGGCAGGGGTAGAGGTGGGGTGAAGAAGCTTCATTAGGACCGGTTAATTTACTTCTCGGCTAGGTGGATGAGGATTTAAAACATCACATTTGATTCAAAGAAATAAGTGATGGATGATTCTGGCTCCTAAAATTATGGGGTTAATTCAACTTATTTCAGGGGCATTAAGTGGGGTTGTACAAGTGCCCCTGGTCCTAGGAGAAGCTCTTTTAAGTTCTTCCAACTGTCAAGATGACTATTTCGTTACAACAGCTAGAATCTCTAAGAGGCCAGGTCTGCTAGGGCCTCCCAACTGATGGTGCAATGGACAACCTGTGGCTGAAGGGAGACTTTCTAAACCAGCCAGCCCAGGCCAGAGCTGCCCTGTCTAAGGATAGCATGTCACTAGTTCCCCCAGGCCTCTCTGCCTTAGCGCCAGTCCTCATCTCCTCTCCAGTGACCTCCTACTCTCTCCCTCTAGAGAGGCATTTCAGCCTGGGGTGAGTGATGGCTCTCAGGTATGTGATTATGCATATGTGTCCAAACACACCTGTGGGCGTGCTCTGCATTTGTATGTATGCATTCTGTATATGAGAATATGCGTGTACATGCACTTGTGTGCTCTGTTAGGGATGTGCTTGTGTGTGTGTGTCTATAGAATCTAGGTTCTGTGTATGTGTGTGCATGTGTCTTTGTGCATGTATGGACTATCACATATAGTCACACTATATGTGTGACTGTGTGACCACAGGACAGAGGGCCCTTTGATGATGGAGGAAACTCCCACACCACTTCCTCTGCACCCAGA